GGTATTTCACCTGGTGTATTTATTTGGAAAGTGTTGAATACTGCCTGAATGCTGTGTATGTTGTGGGTGCTGAATTGGAGTGCGGGGTGAAAGCCCCTTGGTGACAGTAGAGAAGACAGTCAAGTTCAGTGTTGGGTGGTGACACATAGGGGAAGAGCTTAAAGGGCCCGTCCTCAGGAGCTGGATGAGTCTGAGATGGCTTCCAAGGACCTCTGGATGAGGTCATGTTGTTGGAGTAAGTGCTTACAGTAGGTGAGTAGCACGCTGCGCAGATAGCTGGAAGACAGCATGGGCCTGTTTATATTTGAAAGGACTGTGTAGACATTGCCTCTCCATTGGCTGTTGTTAATGTCATGGATACAGTGCGGCTTTAACAGTTCCTATCCCTAGGCTGTGTCTGCTGTTTTTCTTCTCCAAGACAAATAGCTTTGAGGTGGACATTTATTGAGAGAATGATCAGGGAACATTTTCTTGAGTTAAGGCTTATTTCTAGAAATGGAATCCTGATGTATGGTTTTTAAGGATCTCAGTTCACACTACTAGACTTGGCTGCGTAAGACCCTCACTGCTCTGTCTGTCCTTGCACCAGCGAGATAGCCAGCTTCTCTGTAACATGGTGAGCAAGAGTCCTTAACACGTTTGGTTTTTGCTAGGTTGAAGTTTATGCACCATACTATTTTTCTTTTTCTTTTTAGATAGGCCTAAGGTAATACTTTTTGTTTTTCTAGCTTTAAAAGAATCTTTTATTATTTGTATGTGTAGGTGTGTGTGTGCTTGTGTGAGGTTTCCTGCACCTAAGTGCAGGTGCTGGTAGATGCCAGGGGCCTTAGGTTCTCCTGGAACTGAAATGCAGGCTGTTGTGAGCTGCCTGGTGCTGCCTGGTGTAGGTGTAGGGACCAAACTCGAGTCCTGTGTGAGTGCAGCACCCACTCATAAACCCTGAGCCATCTCAGCAGCCATCCAGCATCTCCTGATTGAAAAAATACACTGTGGCAAAACACTGTTACCAATATCATAATGCTTTTTAGGTAAGTTTATACTTGACTTACCACAACGTGTTTGTTTATATTGGAAAGAATGGTGTGTGTTAGTGAGATCATTCAGTGCTTAGTGTGTATATGAAACCTTGGACTTCTTGGATCAAGCCTCCACATAGATGGTATATGTAAGTCAATATAGACTATAAGAATAATCACAAGTAATTTTCAATCACTTTAGAATGTATTCTTTAGAAAAGCGATTTACTGTGTTGACTGGTACCTTCCCTTCTTAATACATTTTGTTATTGGAAACGCTCCATTTTGTGGTTCGTGGTTAGACCAGTCCTAGGAAGCTAGTATTATTTGGGCATCATTCTTTGCTTCTGATTTTTGTGTGAGGGCCAGGTAAATGGGCTTGAAGCTTTTCTGCTGTAGAAATCTTTGTTAAACACAGAATTTCAACAGAAGTATAAAAGTATATGGTAGAGTTAGGGTTTTCTGATTAGACAGTCTGGGGTGACATTCTCAGACTTTCAGGTATATGCCTCTTATCCCCCCCCCCCCTTCCTGCTCTCCAGAGTCAGACTGAGACCCGCTGCCTGGCCTAGCTCAGTCTGGAGAGTCAGATGAGACGGGATGCACACTGGGCTACATTTGCTCAAGGCTG